TATTAGAAATCAAAAGTTGCAGGTGTCAAAATAAAAGGAGCACTTATCAAAGATGAAAAGTGGTATTTAAGATAAAGTGAAGGGTTTCTTATTACAAGAGGGAAAATACATTTATCACAAGAAAAAAGGGTACTTAAAAAGAAAAAGGGGCTCAAGTCAAAGTACATAAGGGCAAATTATCAAAGATGAAAAGGGGGATTTCTCGCACCTGAAAAGAAGCACTTACCAGAGATAAAAAGGGGCACTTTTATAAAGGGGGCATCTTTTGAAGGAAAAAGGACACCTGTCAGATTTTGATAGTGGCAATTATTTTGGGTGAAAAATGGGCATTTATGAGAAGGAAAGGAATTTGCACTTATCAGAAGGAAAAAGGGTCACGTGTCAAAATAAAAGGTGCACTTATTGGAGGTGAATAGGAGGCACTCATCAAAGAAGAAAGGAGCACTTATCAGAAGGGGAAGGGGATAATTATTACCAACGAAAAGGGGCCCTTGTCAAAGTAAAACGTGTTCCTTTTAGATTGAAATAGGGTCAATTATCAAAGATGAAGGTATCACTTCTCGAACCTGAAAAGGGGCACTTACCAGAGATAAAAAGGGGCACTTATTATAAAGGAAAGGGGGCATCTTTTGAATGAAAAAGGACACCTGTCAAATTTTGATAGTGGCAATTATTTTGGGTGAAAAATGGGCATTTATGAGAAAGAAAGGGGTTTGCACTTATCAGAGGGGAAAAGGGTCACGTGTCAAAATAAAAGGTGCACTTATTAAAGGTGAATAGGGGGCACTCATCAAAGAAGAAAGGAGCACTTATCAGAAGGGGAAGGGGACAATTATTACCAACGAAAAGGGACCCTTGTCAAAGTAAAACGTGCACCTTTTAGATTGAAATAGGGTCAATTATCAAAGATGAAGGTGTCACTTCTCGAACCTGAAAAGGGGCACTTACCAGAGATAAAAAGGGCACTAATGAGCATGGAAAAGGGATACTTATTGCAACGGAAAAGGGGGCAGTTGTCGAAGGAAAAAGGAGACTTATTGCAACGAAAAAAGGGGCACTTTTTGGAGGTACCTGAAATGCTGGGAACATTGCCCCCCCCCCCCCCTCTCCATCGGAGCGCCGCCTTTTTGCCTAATTATGTTTAATTTGATCTCTCTAACACTAAAGACTCAATGATGAAAATGATGAAAACATATTGAAAACATATATCTGCATATTCTCATTCAAAATATTCTTGATAATGTCATTGATGCTTTACTGATACTGTATTATACAGTAATAGGTCACTGATTCTTTGACAGGTATCTGTTATATCTTTTTCTTTCCCATCCCTCGTCTCCTTTCCATTCATAAAACCTCTGTATTTTAATCTAATTATGAATATTTGTTACTATTTCTCAGACTGTGTTATATCATGTATTCCGTAGGGTAATTTCTATTGTAATCCAGCCCTGGGGCTACTAATGTAAATGTTTTGTGCAATGAATAGGTTACCATGTCGATTATCTAGGCTGTACATTCCTTGTCGTAGCTGGCGTACTCAGAATTATGCTCGTTTGACGCGAAGCACAGGGATGTCATCTTGTCACACTCACACAATGCTAAAGACCAAAGACCCAAGTGCATGTTAAAATGCACAGTGGAAAAGTCAGCGGGTGCATGAAAGGTGGCTTTCACGCCCAACCATTTTTTTAAAACTTTGAAACAAGTTCAACAACCGTGCACGCGCTCGTGGAGGATCCCGAGCTAAAATAGAGGACGGATTCATTCAAGACCAGTTACAAGAGATTACTAAAATCAGAAATCAGAAATCAATAATCTCAATAATGAGAAATGGTAGAGAGCAGTCGTTGAGACGCAATATGCGTGAAAATAGAGGGAGAAACACAGAGATCCAAGGAAAGAGAAAGAGAGATATATAAAAAATATTTAAAAAAAAGCTGGGAGCCCCCCCCCCCCCTCCCTATGATCTCGGCCGTCGAATATCCGTCTGTAGACTTGTAACGAATCTTGAAAATGTTTTGAATAAATGCTTCCTTCATCTAAAATTCATGAGGTTTAAATTTGTTTATGATATTTGAAAATGCATGAGTTAATTTGCATAAATTATGAATACGCAAATTACGCATTCATGAATATAAAATCTGGAAATATACAGGGAACTAGAATCATTACAAAAATTGTCAGACTCCACTTTTTGAATGTTGAAACTCATTATTCATATGAAACTTCTTTTCTCAAACAAAATAGTTATTTTGATGTAATTAATAATGATAATTTATGCAAAATTGTATGCAATTTTAAAATATTTATTTTCTTATGTATTTCATTGTTTTTTTATTTCTTATTATATCTATTGTTTTATTTCTAATGATTTCTTTCATTCTGGAATACATCAAGTTACTTTGAGAAACATTATGAAAGCAATTTGATATCAATTCATATCTCCCACTTAGGAAGAAATACATCTAAACCTGTATTCACATTTCTGCTTGTATATGCAATTATAGCACTTTTTGATGACATGCGCATACTAATTGTCATGTAACACCTTACAGGTATATCCGATTTCAACGAAAATGGTATCAACATGCGTGTAAAACTTGAGGAAAAATAGTCATGAAACGACAATTCAAAATTCTAAACGGTTGTGGCGCAATCTCCGAAAATGTCGAGGGGGCCTCACAGCCCCCCCCCCCCCCAGTACAGTAAGGGTTAAGAATAGGCCAATGTTTATTGATGATGGGGTTACAAGTGTCTAAGTATTTATAGCGATTGAGACTTACACCTGCCTTGAAATAACTATAAATTCTACATAAATCTTATCTCATCACCCTCCACTTCTTAAAGCAAAAAGAGGGAAAACCTCATTTTCTTCATATCAAAGTATCATCATGCTTTTAAAGCATGACAAACAAATCATTAAGTTGTCTTTATGATTACGTGAATTACTGCATAGAGAGAGTCGTAGGTTTTAGTAGGTAAGTTTCATGAGCATGTATTAAATGCATGAATTCATTTTTGATATATCATTTCTGTGTATTCATACACGTATCCCGTATTCATGTAGTATTATCATTGTTTAGCCCACTGGGAAACGCAGACGGCCAGAACCATTATTATGACGTATTCGCCATACCACCAAACACGGCTGATAGTCCCTTAACAAATAAGAAAAGCTCATTACCATGTATTGCGACATTGATATAAATAGAAGTGACCCGATATGAAGTTGGGTAAATATTGCCGCTAGTTTGTATTTTACTCATGACTCTAATCTAACGAGCGGAATTTTAATTATCGCTTAAAGTTGCATTTATGACCAGGATGCAAAAGATATCTCTACTTTATCCCCATCTGATGTTCTTCCATTTTCACACATGTCAATTAAAAAATTCAATGTGTCATTCCATAGTACGGAAGGATTTACTACGGACAATATATAACTTATTATATTCACGAAAACTGCAATTGTTTGCTAATGAAAAAATGGTAGAGTATACCCTATAATTCAAAATATCATGAAGTGAGCGAAGCGAGGCGATGAAGGGAATCATTTGTGAAAGTAAAAAACATTTTAAATGTTATTGTTATTTAAGGGTAATCTTTTTAACATCATACATTGATTACAATCATACTTAACTTAATTTCTGCAGACAGTGTTTGACGAATAGTGAGTGTGTACTCTTTAGTTTTCGTTTCTTCTTGCTGTTTTTTCAACAGCCAGAAGGCGTCCATTTAAAATAATAGTGATTATTGATATAATAATGCCCTATAAAATTATAAAATTGAAATGATGAATTCTGAATTTGCTGTAAAATGTCCCCTAGTTGACTGGTAGAAATACCTTCCAGAACAGAAATGTCCCTAGAGTACTAAGTTACCAACAGTGAGAATCTTTTACTCACCGCCAGTAAAACAAAATATAGGAACTTATCAAATGTGGTTTGGAAAAAAGACAAGACATAGTGCATGATATTATGAGCAAACTTGACATAAATTAAAGCAAGGAAACAAACAAACAGCAGCAACAACAACAAATAGAGTAGTAACATATGATTGACTTGAAATAAACGTTTTACAAGGCCTGTAGTATACTAATATCAAATTTTGTTGATATTCTGCAGCATTTTACACATAGTGATGAGAAAACTCGCTTTAAATAACAAAATTAGTTCGGTAGTTACTGTGACCCGTTGTGACCCCTGTATAATTTTTCTGACAAAAGATATAGAAATCACCTACGGAAACAAATATTATCCTAGATGAGACCTACTTAAATGTTTACGATTTAATCCGTGAAACGCGTTCATTGCACGACCATACATAATTAAAATCTAAATTATGATTGGATTTCTCTAGATAATGGATATATGCCTACCATAATTATGTGACGCTATAAATGTGTGGATTCCCCACCACATGATCACAACTTCTTGACGTATTCTGCACCGCGTGGTTGCCACTTTCATCTCAACTGACTCGACATTTTAGAACAGTTGTGTCATATAATGTTATCATTTTGTTGCTGTTGGTAGTATTTTGAAAAGGAAATACGTTCTCATGCAATTTTTTCTTTTCCTTGCAGGGGGTTATGTGTATAGGGTACGAAAAGCTCCACTTTACTCCAACCCACTCCGCTCCACTATATGTGGTGGGATAGGAAGAAGGTCTGATAGACACGAGCTCAATATAAAAATTTGGTTCAATGGTATAATGCAGACAAAGAAAATTCCTATTTTCTCTGTCCATCTTTCTCTCTGTAACTCTCTTTCTCTCTTCCTCTCTCCTTCACTCTTTCTCTTCTCTCTCTCTCTCTCTCTCTCTCGCTCTCTTTCTCTCTCTCTCACTCTCTCTCTCTCTCCTTCTCCCTCCTTTCCTGTCTCCTTCTGAATTCCATACTCCCAATGTTTGTATTGCGTGCACGCAAACACGTAGCACCCAGTTCCTCAGGCTAGGTTCAGTTTCGCTCTAGGATAAATACATATAGCCAACCTTTCAAAAGAGCAACGTCATTCTTAATACTTCAAATATGGCGTCAAATACTGATGGGAAGCTTGCTCGTGGCATGAGGCTGTGGATAATATTCAGCGCCTTCTTTGTGTTCTGGCCAAATTACGTACGATGCCGTAAGTGATAAATCTAGCTAGATCTTATTCTTATCTTTATATTATACACATTTGTATTATATTAAGAGCACGGATGTATTTTAATATACAACCCCATGACAATGTACTACATGAGATATCGTACAAGTGGTATACTAAATAATTAAAAATTAAAAAGAACGAACTGGTTTCAAATCAGCCTTACCACTATATGAGGGATTATGGTTTTAAATTTCTGTTGGCATTAAAGCGGTAGGCTTTACCTTCCACCGCTTAATACATAAATTACATAATACAAAAGACAGTATTTAGATATAAAGAGCTTGATTCCAAAAGGAACTAAATCCAATTATAGTCAAATTTCTGAGAAAAACACGATTAAAAAAAAAGATTATCAAAGCTAGCAATGTCAGCTTTGAATGATACCTTGGCTAATTATACTACTGTATGAAACTAGTAAACAAAATCTATGTCTGCACAAATATTTTTCATGAATTTATGTTTTTTTTTAATTTTTATGGAATGATGTAGTCCTTTTTTGAACCGAAATTGGATGTAGTATTTCTTGGAATCTAAAATATTGCACACTGTATGCATGGAAATAAAGCTTTTGAGAAATGTCAGTGAATGTGGCTACTGGAGATGCGTACTATGCTATTCAAAATATTTTAACAAAATCAGTTTTGATTTTTTTTTTTAAATGGATGTAATACCTTTTGGAACCGAGCTTTTCTTATATTTGTCTGCTTTTATTAATATTAATAGTTCTTGTTCTTCTATTTGTCATTATCATTATTATCATTGTCATATATGAGTATGTATTGATAGTCCAAAGCTTTTCAAAGAACTTGAAGGAAACGTAAAATACTATATGAACTAGTAAATAGTACATCATTTCCAATGATTCACTTATTGCTAATGACAGAATGAAATAAGGTCGAGAAAAATTAGTTGAGACAGTATATATGCGATAGACAGGTAGACATAGAGAAAGAAACATAGAGACCTAAGGAAAGGAAAGAGAGATAAATAAACGAAAATCAAACAAAAAGAAAGAAACAAGGTATAGAAGTGAGAGAGAGAGAGAGAGAGAGAGAGAGGGGGGATATGTTTTCTTTGGACAATAATGCACTAAGCATAACACTATTGATGATGAGGTTTCCAAGTGTATAATCATTTACAGCGATTTAGACCGATACCCGCCATGAAATAACTAAAAATTATAAATGAAGTTTATCTCGTTACCCTCCACATCTAAAAGCAAAAAGACGGCAATCATCATGTTCTTCATATCAAAGTTTCATCATGCTTTTAAAGTACTAAATAAACCATTCACGTATCTTTATGATTCTGTGAATTACTGCATAACGAAAGTAATTCTAATTTTTGGTAGGATTTAGTAAGGAAGTTTCATGAACATGTATTCAATGATAAATTCACTTTTTATATATGATTTTCTGTTCATTCATACAAGTACCCGTATACCTCATGTATTTTGATGTATAGCGCATTGAGAAATGCTGACAGCGAGAGCCCCTTATCCTATGACGTACACGGCTGGTAGTCCCTTAACAAACAAGAAAAGCTTCTTACCACGCATTGTGTCATTGATATAAATAGCAATGACCCGATATGAAGGTTGTGTGAATACTGGAAATACAACTGGAAACTTTGTGTATATATACACTCTCTACATATGTATATATAATCACTGTATATGCTTTCATGGATATATAGTATAGGGAATGTACCACAAATAAATTAAGACAGCATGTGCATAAATCGAGAGTTAAAAGGTTGGAAAAGATGACAGTTATGTGATTCAAGTTATTATACAAATTCATCACTTTTATTGATGATCCTCACACAAAAACACTACAAATAAATTGAGAAAATAATGGAAAGGCATAAAATCCTAAGAAATTTAAAAGTAAATTTATACTTCCTCACAAATACACGCGTTTTAGGAATAAATTCGGGTTATTTTGTAATACGATGGAAAATGTTTCATTCTCGTTGAATGATTAGTGGATGTAAATTGGCACATATCCGTAAAATGTTCCCACGGGTAAACTTCATGGAAATTATTATTTATATATTCATTTCAGAAATATATTTCAAGGATATACAAGACAATGAAACCAATTTATTAATTCATGTTTTTTTTTTAATAAAGGCTAGCTCTGTCGGTAATGACATTTTCCCCGAGAGACATTTTTCCGTCAACACGCACAAATTTAAAATAATTTAAGACTTAACTTGGAGAAAATAATTACAATTTTGTATTTTATAGAAATGTTCACTGAGAGCGAGAGAGATAGCGAAATAGAGAAAGATAGATAGAGAGAGAGAGAAAGAGAGAGAGAGAGAGAAGATTATAGATTTCATAACATAAATTTCAAGCTCAAATAAGAACCATTCCTACAAAAAGCTCCCTATTCGTGTACATGGCACCTTTGTTACGATGGATAGGGCTTGCATGAGCGACCAGGGACAATTCGTACTTGGTTCGGTGCTCAAACATTTGTTCAAGGCAAATAGATCATAAAGCAGTTTCGTTCTGCATATTTATTTTATTTTCTCAACAATTTCTTTTTTTCTACGATTATGTGCTCATATGTGACTAAGCACTCTGTGACCAATTTATCCTCCTTGAGTTTGTTTACGTAACCAAGTCAATATTTAGTGGTCCCAAACGTAGTTACTCAATGTCGATATGATTTCACCCATGAGTTTAGCAGACGATATGGATATTCAATTTAAGATTCACAATTCATGAGTAACAGATATATTAATAATAAGAAAAATGTAATATGATAACAACATAACAATGATAATGAAATCATTTGACAACAGTATGGTAGTGCATTTTTCTTTATGTGAGAAAAAAAAAAAAAAATTCTGTCATACTAGAACCTTTGATCTCCGTTAATATTGTTGTTTGTAGTGGTTTCTTTTCATGTCTTTTTTCGTAGTATTTATCGATTTGCTTTTAAAATTCAGAATTCGAGGGGGATGTACGGCTTGTTGATGGAGCCCAGAATGGGCGAGGGCGGGTCGAGATCTACCACGACAACCAGTGGGGTACTATCTGTGATGACACATGGGACACCTCCGATGCACAAGTTGTCTGTCGACAGCTCGGTTTCGGAACCACCAACGCTCGCGGATATACCGCTACCAGTCCTGGGTCTGGTCCTATCCACCTTGACGGGACCCACTGCTTCGGGACCGAATATCGTCTAGATTATTGCTCTCATTCATCCTGGGGACTAAACGATTGTGTCCACAGCGAGGATGCAGCTGTATCATGTGGTAAGCCAAACACATTTGAGGGGATGTAGTTTACCACAAAGACTACTAGTAGCCCTCTATAAAAACCTTTAGTCACTCTCCTTACATAAATAAAAACGGTGGTTTCGCAATTTAGGGCTACTGTGTATATTCAATTATTCGTATGATGAATTTACAATTACGCAGATGTTATGATGGTCATGCATTACAAAATTTGGGGGGTCTGTTCAGTGATAAAATTGTACAAAAGATCAATTGTAATAGACCAAAGCTATCTCAATCTTGCACCTCTCATTCTTTTACCTATTCTTGCAATAGTGTGTGAGTAATCGTACTACACTGGTAACAGATCTCTCACCACCCAGGGAAACATTTCATTCAATCGGACTCATGGAAAAGGATCATTATGTAATGAATATTCTTTATTATCTGAAAGCAGTTTTCTTTCTTCTTTATTTTGGCAAATAAAAAATGACCGCATGTTTCATTGATAAAAAATATTACGCAGTTATAACTTGTATATGACTTCCTTTTAATTCTATCCAATAAGATTTATTCTTCTTTTGACTGTTATATACCTGTGACGATGGGATTTGACATTTAGTAGAAGGTTTCATGACTTGCACCAACTGTATTTCCACATCGGGGATGCAGTAATTGCACAATAGACGAAACTTAGTTAACAACTAAGTTATTTATATTCCTCGCAAATTTGATGTGTTTTGTGTTTTTCGTAACTCTTGAATTAAAATAAAGTGTACTGGTTAAATAAGGGCCTTTGTTGAAAAAATGTAAATATTAGCTTATATGTCGCATCTTCAAGAAATAAAAGTCGGGACTAATCAATTTTCACATACTTCAAAAATTAAAAAACTTGGTAAGGGTGTGGCTAGTTAACATGTATATTTAGAAAACTATTCACCTTCGTTAATTTCCCATTCTTGTATAATTGTGTTGAAGACATCAATGAAGGGGATGTCCGACTTGTTGGTGGGTTCACTCCAAACCAAGGCCGGGTTGAGATCTACCACAATTACCAGTGGGGGACAGTCTGTGATGACAGATGGGGTGACTCTGATGCGAGGGTAGTTTGTCGACAGCTTGGATACTCAGGTGATGTTGGTGAAGCCAGGAGTGGTGGTACATATGGACGAGGATCTGACCCAACATACCTTGACGAGGTCGGCTGTTTGGGATATGAAAGTAGATTGGCGGACTGTAGTCACGACGGATGGGGCATTGAAGACTGTACTCACAGCGAAGATGCAGGAGTCTACTGCAATGAAAATGGTAAGTTGCAAACACTACAGAGCAAGCGAGTTGTCTTAGTCGGTAATTAAAAGCATCTGCCTGTCGAACCGACAAGACAAAAAAACGTGTAGTAAGTATAATGCAATTCAGAGAGGTTCGAAACAAATGCAGAGGATATTCGCCAGAGAATAGGCTACCCATCCTTCCAGTCTGTTAGTTTGAGTGTAACATGTATGTCCTCGCATTTGGTATATTGCGGAAGTTTCAATCTTGTGTAGAACAGGACACACTGAACCTCGGTGAGGTGACGATGGACATTGGCTTTGGAAATATTTTCTCAAAGATTTGTCTACCCTTAATTCGATCAGTCTGCTGCAGACCTAGTGCCTTTCGACCTTAGCCTTGCAGATCAGTTCGTTGGCCCTGATGTTCCGCCCTGATCTGGGCTTGTTATCAAGGAAATCACCATGATTGTGTCGCTGCCACCATTTCCCAACCCATCATACACTTCTGCCCAGGGATTTGGCCATCTCCAGACGTTTTTTCTTCTTCTTCTTCTTCAGTCTCTCGAGTAGAACACCCTTTCCAGATTTGCTCTAAGCCATAGGGTAAAATATCAAACCAAGAAGAATTCTCAGTAACTATAAGCAGCACTCTATTCAGGCAAGACATTTTTAGGATAGAGACATGCAGATATATCGAATATAAGTCTAATTGGGGAGTATGAACTGTTGAGTCACTGTGTATATTAACTTTTATTTTTAATCTATTATTTTTGCTACAGTACCCGCTACATCTTCACCCGCTACATCTTCACCCGCTACGTCTTCACTTGTCGTGGGCATCATGTCGTTTGTTGGTGTGTCCTTGTTCTTGCTGACCATGTCTGCTCTCATAGCTGTGTATTACACCTGCAGTCAGCGTAAGCCGGCTATCATACCTACGCAATCAAATCAGATCCCTCTCAGCACCATTACTTCTCATCCTGTCGCTTATCACACCGCTGCGGCTGCCACTTCAAATAGCATGACAACAGGGCCCACTCAGCCATCATTGCCGCAGCAACCACCAGCAACTGAAACCGACTCTCTACCAAGTCCTCCCTCATATAACGCCTTACAGGGTGGACAATCCGACTCTATGCCCCAACCAAACTAACACAGCATAATTATGCTAGACCCTATAAAGGAATGAGGTGGGGAGCCAGGCTCGTACAAAGGGGGGAAAGGGGGGGGGGGTTACCCCCCCTTTGTTATTTTTGTTTGTCGTTGCGAAATTCTCGGCCCGATTTATAAATGTTAACCCCCCCCCCCTTGAAAAAAATCCTGCGTACGCGCCTGTGGGGAGCATATACCGTGTGAGTCTAAAACAAAAGTTTACACTTAGAAAACTGTCATTTATTTTAAAAGTCAGCTATAAACGAAAGGTTAGCATACATGTTCTGAAAGAGCGTTAAATCCCGAATCGTTTGTCATTATGTTTGTGTGGTATGTGTTAACGCTTGGATGAACAGGAGGCATGGTTCGCGAGACTGCGAAAATCGTTGCGCAAAAGTATGCCTGGATTATATTTCGCCTGCGATTAGTCTACGGGGCCCGTGTCCTGCCCGTATCCCCTTTTCTGTGCGGCCTCCGTGGGGAGGCAGGAGGCGGCCGTGAGATTTTCGTACGGATTCACGGGCTCCGCGGCGACTACCATTTTGTTTCGCGGGGAGTTAAACAAATTTGAAAAATCGTAAGCCCGTAGCCCGTAGACATGTCGTAGGTGGCATTGCACAATCCCCGCATGGACATTGCGTGGAGGCCTCACGTTGATCGTGCTGCAAACGCACGATTTTCAGTGAACATGGGGGCAAAATCGCACGAAAAATCGTAGACCAATTTATCGTGCGGCGCCCGGGCCAAATGTAATCCAGGCAGTGAGAGAATGAATTGAATGTATCACATGAGATGCATCGCATATGGTTTTTCAGAAGCAAAGTCACACACACACACACACACACACACAAGGAACATAAACACACACACCCACACTCACATATCACATTTAGATGCAGACTAACCGAGTTCTTTGGGAGAAACAATTCATTGTGATGTTACTGCACCAAACTTACATTATGGCATTGTGATTGCATTAAAAATATTAAATGGGAAATTTGCGATTTTACAGAAATGTTAATTACGTAATAATGGCTTGGCTGCTTGTATTTTTTATATATCTGAGTGGGCTAGTGCGCGGAAGTGTGTGTGTGTGTGTGTTCTTGCGTGTGCGTGTGTGTGTGTGTGTGTGTGTTTTTGACTGACTGAGTGTGACTCTGTGTGTGTTTTGATATGTGTGGCATGATGAATTTTGCTAGGGATTTTTATATTTGGATTTGCAGAGACCGAATATATACCCAATTGTTTTATTCAAACATTACATAGGCATCACTTTGGCGCAAGGCGATTTGTGCACTCTCTTGAACAATGTTTCCTGCTCATCCAAGCGTGACCACATACCACAAACAATTAACAATTTGTCTAGGTGTAAACTATGTACAGTATAAGTTTACACAAAAATAGTATTGTAGATACACCCGGACGTGCGCCGCGATATGATTTTTTTTTCCCGCCGCGAGCTTTCATGAATCCATAGCCAAGAGCCTTATTCCAGCCCTTGTAATAGGATTATTCGTATGAAAGCAGAAAATGAGATAAACTGAATGGCGAAGGTTTGAAATCAATCGGAACGATCATAAGAAAGTTTGAAATCTAATTTAATATGGCATCACTAAGTCTATATGAATTTCAAATTGGCAGTTTGGTCAGTGCACTGTGACGTCGTCGCGGATAACTCGCTCGTTTTCCGCGTACAAAAATATTATTAATTTCAGTTTTTCACCCAACTGCCTTCTTACTTTAGAAGCTACTCAAAATATGTTATGAACAGCATATTGTGTAGAGACAAATCACTTCTGAGTCATGCATTTTTTAGCATTTAGATTGTAGTCGTTTTTTGTATTGGAACAGATGGGAAAGTCGTCCGCCTCTACGTCACAGAGAGCACCACAATAATCTTCCTTTCTTAGGTTAAGATATCCCGTCAAACAGATTTAAAACAAGTAATGACGCATATATATATGTCTATGAGAATGTTATAGGTTTACTTTGTTGTTGTATGGTCTAACAACTTGAAACGATTCTTGTTAAAATAGCCTGTAGTTTATCGAGTGAGTAATTTTCGAGGGGTGGCTTCAATGTACAGGTTTCTTTTCTTTCTTTTTTTTTTTGGGGGGGGGGGTATATGCACAAAAGATCTATTCCTGGAGCATCCCTACTGCACCGATGCACTTGATCTAATAAATTCAAATGACGAGTCTGCGTTCATCATTTCTTAAGACTTGGAATTATTATTATTTTTATCTGCCAAAGCAGTCTCAATCTTTAAAATTTTTCATTGCTAACAATCAAAGAAAAACACACGAAAATGAATAAAGAGATGAACAAAAAAAAATTAACATGGGCGACGATATAAAATACCAGAAATACGCATTCTCTCTTTTTAAATATATACTTGCAACAAAAAGAGTTAGTTTCTTAGACCTTATCAATATCAATAATCTTCAATATTGAAAAATATTATTGGCCTAAAGTGCTACATTTTCACTTTTCATAGGACATATAAACATGATTTGTTTGATCATGCTGTTCCGGCTTGGTTAATCATGATCATGTTACTATAAGAATAAATGGATAGACTCATGTCTAAGTCTGAGAGATTATGGTATACGATACATGAGCTTCGTGTGTAATTCAATCAAGAAATCGATACTTTTATTGTATTCAGTGATGTATAACAAGTCTAGAAAATCTTCAATATGACGTACGACGATAGCGTGTGCGTGATGTGTTTGTGTGTGTGTGTGTTACGAATCTCACCGACCATGATTGTATTAAGATGTATATAAAAATATGCGTGTTTCTAATACATGCCTCATTTGAACAGAGTTCTTAATACAAATGTAAATTGTCATCTTTTTTATTATACTAATCATAATTTCATATAGCAGCTGATGATTTATAACATTAAATTTACATATAGCTGTATGTATTTTGTATACTCAAAGAAGAAATGATTTAGTATTCTAGTATTGCTACCACTAATTAAAAATGCATCTCCCCACCTCCGCGTTTCATACAATTATTTTCAATTTAAGATGTATTTATGTCCATGTTTAAGGAGCATACAGACGATAAATAATTGTATGCTTAATCCAACCAATGGATAAATCACGCTAAAAAAAAATAGAATGTACTTTTCTTCTTATTTCTTTCTTCTTTTTTTTCTTTTTTTCCCCCTGTCTTTGATATTTTTCTCCCTCTTCTTTTTTTTGTTATTGGTATCACCTCGTCATTTTACCTTATATTTACAATTGTATAATTTGTTTGTATTATTGGGGGTAGTCCTCGACAAATCATTTTTGATTTTGGACTGCCCCTTCAACATTTGCTGATTTTTACTTTTTAAAACATACATTGCTCCAACTGGAGATGTTTTATTATTGTATTGTATGTATGTATTTTATTCTATGTAGCTCCCTATGTTTTGCATTTGTGGAGAAATAAATTGAAATTGAAATTGAAACAAATTTTATATATAGAAGCCAGATTATACTTGGAAAACAAAATTGTGATACCTCGATGATTGTTTTGGTCATATGGGGAAAAAAGGGTATGGAGACATTTAAGTATTTTGCGGTTTTCTGTGGAATCTGCATACAAGATAAAGTTCCAAGATAAAGCTGTAAAGAACCTTATTAGGAAATTGGAGACGGAGGTACATAATAAATAACTGACACTGTTCAACATTTGTATCTTGTCTGCTACTATCCACGCCACTCCAAAATAAATATACCCTATTATCTGGCTAGAAGAATTTGTACAATTCAATCGAACGAGGAAGTGAGAGATGAAAGAAAAGGCAAGAGGACACTTTTTTTTGGTCTCGAAATTTGAAAATTTGACATTTTTCTCCGTAGGGGGGGGGGGGGGGATAAGGTCACCTTTTTTAGGTCAGCCATGGACATATTTTTTTATTTGTTTATAATTAAAAAAAACAAAAAAACAAACAAAACTAAGGGGGGTTTAGGTTTTTTTTTAGAGGGGTTCGCACACATAAAAAAATACCAAAGGGGGGGGGGGGGAGTTTAACCCCCAACCCCTCCCCCCCCCCCTGCGTACGCGTCTGAATGAGATATCTTGGCATTATATTATGCCTGACATGGGCGCAGCCATTTACTTGAAAATGTGACGTACCAGTTGGAGTTGTACATGTATCATGCACCAAGCTTTAATTGGAAAGAATTTTTAATTCAATTACAAAACCTTAACTTTTCAATGAGGGAAAACCATAGCCGAGAAAGTAAAATATAATTTGATGAAAATATATTTTAAGGTAACAATAAATTGTAAATCATTTATTTGAAATACATAAATATAGCAGATGAAAAATCAATTTCATTTATGCGAAACCTTCACCTCAGAACAACACCAACTTATTTATAAAATTTGCGTTCTGGCAATTGGAGTACAAAGGGTAATAGCAGGTGAATGAAATGCTTCAAAACCCCAAACACATGGAAGGGAAGCATGCATAATGTGAATACATTTTGTTTATAAAATACTCCGCATAGTACGTCATACAATCAAGAAAATAGCAATGCCCATGTCTTGCTGAGAAACTGTACTTTATTCTTACTTCATGCCTTTCTCATACACTTTGGTGGGGGAATCTTGAAGATTGATTGGCAAAAATGCAACAAATCTCTCAAAACAACCAAATTGTTCTGTGTGTTTATTTCTCCTTTAACAAAATACACATTATAATTAAATGAAAATGGAGATGAAGATTGACATTATTTGTTTATAGTTTAGTGCACTAATTTGTATGTTTTAATTTTTTAATTCACTATCTGATCAAATAAACTTAAACCGGTAATGGTGATAAATTAAACTTCCAATGTATTTTATATCAATTGTTAGATGTATATATATATATATATATATATATATATCTTTAAAAGTATATATACAGTGCGTCCCAGAAAAAAACAAAACCGAGAATCATCGATGTTTTATCATAACTTAATCACAATTATAATTAATAAATGACTCATATTTGTAAGCTTAGATCCCCTCTTTTTATTTAATGCTACTCGTATAATGCATATTTCACGCATGACTGATTA